AATGTGAAAATTATACCCATTTGACAGAAAAACAAAATATGCCTTCACTGTAGGCACTTAATGCCCAAAAGGAAACTGAGGACAAAGTTGAGCTTTACACATCTTTACATTATATTCAGAAATTTACCGGTGGCCTAATTTTTCCCACCTTCCTGTGACTGGAAATTTGTGTGGATATCTCACCTCGTAGGAACAAAGAAAAGCAGAGAAACTGTCAACCCTAATGGATTGAGGTTAATATCTATCCATGACACTTTTATTCCAAGTAGTCTTTGAGCTTGAGCACTATTCCTATTATAGCAACCCATGTTGCTTTCCTCGAGTTTGGGTGTGAGCCCAGCTGCTGACTTTTGTGCCCAAAACATGTCCTTTGGATCCTTTTCTGGATCCTCAAGGGCAGTTTAGTTTCCCTCGTTAGTTCCTACTGAATGAACACATTAGGCAGCTCATTTCATTCTGACTCAAAACCTTATTTTATAAGGAAGTACTGAGCTCAGAAACCACCACTAAGTAGTTATAACTATATAATGCACAAAGACCAATTAAAATTTCAACTGCGTTGTAATCCACTTTAAATCCTATACAATTATAAAAATACCAGAAATAAACTAAAGATAAAATATTTAGACTTTCTTCAAGTTAAAATTCAAACATAATGAAAGCAATGAGAATCTACTATCTTGTTTTACAATTTAAAACTTTAAACTGGACTATTTTTATATTAAGTGAAGTAATCATATTCATAAATTTATTCTTTCATTTTATCTCTACCAGGGGCATTTTTCCTGTGTAGAAATGTATTCATTTCAGAATCTGGAGGAAAACTTTATATCTCTTATTTAATCTAAATGATCTCTTACTAGCCTCAGCAATTACAGACAACACAAATCTCTGAAAAGTTCTATAGTCTTTATAAAACACATCAAATTGCCAATTTGCTGTATCTATCGCCATAAAATTTAGGAAGCAAGAAACTCGCCCATTTTCCCATCACTCTAACAGAATACCTAACCCCACAGGTTGTAGGAGATCAGGTTTACTAGGTTCACAGTTTCAGAGAGTTCAGTTCATGGCTTGCTGGCTCCAAGGTACAGACATGGTGTAAGACCATGGCAGAGGAAATCTGTTTATCTCAAAGTAGATGGAGGGAAGCACAGGAAAAAGAGCCAGCATGAGCTATAACCTTCAAAGGCACAAGTCCAGTGACCAACCTTCTCCAATTACACCTCTTGTCTTAACAGCACATTCAGACATGAACATCAGTGTGTTATCCCACTAATGAGTACAGAGCCCCCATGAGTTAATCATCTCTCCAGGAGTCTCTTAGTCTAATCAAATTATTAATGAAAAGTAAGTGGCACACCAATAAAATTTATATTCCCCAAACCCAGTAGTACTCAGTTTTGCCTAAGTCCATCACAGAAACCAAATGAAGGATATGTCTGCCTAGAAAATCTCCGCAAACTTACTCTCACCAGAATGACAATCAGAGCATTTATGTTATTCAGAGAATTTGTGTTGGTTCAGAAACAATAAGGCTGTGAAAGCATTGCTTTTGTTTCTATGCAATTGTTAACTCTAAACTAAAGTTTCGCTTTGGTGTCTATACCCTATTTTGTTTGCTGGCATTGAAATGCTGCTAGCATCTTAGAAGTATAAAAAGTTCCAGTAAATGGCACAACATTAGTAAATGAGTATATTTAAAGTATCTTTCTTTTATAATCATAATTGGCAATTGTTTACCGTTGTTTACCGTTTTCCTGACCCAATATATTACACTGAGGTTAGCATCTATTTTACTAAGAACCCTTTCTCATTCCTGGGACACAATTTGCTCTTGTAGTATACAGTAAAATTGGTTAAAAAAAAATTCTTCCTCCTAGCAATTGATCTCCTTCATCTCTTTAACTTGTTTCACTTGGAATAAAATCACTTTCCCATTTGGAATCAGAAGCTGCTATTTGATGCTTTTGAAACAACGTGTGACAAAAAGGGCCTAGTGAGACCTGATTTCCCTGCATGTCGTCTTTAAGATTCACTTTCTGAATTTTCCAAACATTGGAGAACATTATTTTATGCTGTGTTTTTCTCCACAGCCGTTAGGTGTTCCTGTCATGCTTAATTTTCTTTTCCTTATACTTTTCAGGAGGGTTTACCTGATTCCAATGAGTCAAACTTATTTTTAGCTTAGTTTCTTTCCTTTCAGCGCACATGAATTTTATAAAATATTTTAAATTGAGTGGTAACTGTAGATTTATAAGGTAAAATGTAATATCTTAATACATGTATAAATTATAGAACTGTTTACCTTAGTAGAATCAAGGATTCTTTAACATTTCATTTTACCCTCCACACATTTGGTTTCTCATGATTTTCTTCATATTTTTTTCTCACAGTGAAATGGGTTTGAACCCCTGTGTGTGTGTGATGAGCCCTTGCTCAAATGAATCTAGTCTCCTTCCATTGCTGCTCATCCCATCACACTGTCCCCCAGCTTCATCTGCTCTCTCACTGCCGTCGCCTGGCCCTGCCCTTCAAGACGTCTCACACAGTACTTACTTCAGTGTCACTAAGTGCATGCATTTCGGGGCAGCGTATTGAAGGCAAAGTCACATGTTCTCTTTTCCTGGGCACACCCTCCTGAAATTGCTGAATAACACTTCAGCTCTCCCTCAGCCTCACTTCTAGTTTTTTCTTAAATCTGCACAGGTTATTTTTGAAAACCACGTGGTGAAGCTGCTGCAGTCTTTAAAAGTGGCCTTTCCTTTACTTTTCTTAAGGGTCCCTACACAAACACCTCTGTATAACAATGTCTTCAATTCCAGTGTCTTTAGGAAGGTTACTTCCATTTGTTTTCTGTAAATGATGTTACATTTCTCTGGGACATAAATAAGGTAGACATGGTTGCTGTCTCCTTATAAATAAATACATTTACTTAAGTAGTCAAGCATAAGGACTTTTTATCCTGCCTGTTGTGCTTGTGTCTTAGAATCTGTGCCTTTCTGGGAGGGATTTTTCTCTGTCAATAAACTTTACATTATGTCCATTGTTTACAGTGTTGCCTTTCCCCTGTTCTGAGAATAGATGCATTTTTCAAGCTACTTGCTAATCAACATGATCTATTTACAGTTTTTCAAATAGCAAGATGACATATGGTAAAGGCACCATGTCTTTCTGTTTATATATTAAGAAGGCCTATTATCTTCTAAGCAGTGAACTGAGTTGAAATCATGACATGAGGAGGCCTTGAGCTGCTGCAATTAAATCCGCAGACACTGTTTGTAGTATGGCTGTGAGTATAAGGCTATGTCAGGTGGCCAGGGAAATTCCCGTAACTGGGTACTGCCTGGTGTAGTGGCAGAGGCCCATAATCTCAGCTCTCAGGGAGGCTGACGTACAAAGATCACAAGGTGGAGCCTAATCTGCACAATTAGCAATTTAATGAGATCTTGTTTTAAAATAAAAAAAAACTGAAGAAGGGGTCATATAATTCAGTGTAAAAGCCTGGAGTCCCATTCTCAATGTCAAAAACTAAAGCAAATCTGACCAAAACAAAACTAAATAAAAAAATAAAAAATTAGGGTATCATAACCTCAACCCAGGATTCTTCCTTCTGCATGATGTTCTGAGATTTCCCCTTAGGGACACAAAGATCCAGGTGTGTACTGCCCAGACCTCTGCAGAGTCCAACCACAGTGTCTCTCTAAAGGTCTGTCACCATTAACAAAGTTCCAGATATCATTCCTAAAGAGAAGGCCACTAAAAATTTCTAAAAGGAAATAAACACCAAAAGCTGAAATTTCCATGCCCCATTCAAGAAGCAGCATGGCTGACTCCAGTCATTTCACCCAGGACACAGCAGTTAAAAGCCGATTTCGCCATGACAAGCAGTTAACCACCTGGCATAGTATAAACCTGCATGAATCATGCAGGACAAAACTCCTGCCCCTCACCCTGAAAGCCAAGACAACCTCACTTCCATCCCCCTTGTGCTACAAATCCCAACTGATAAGAATTTTCCATATGCATATCATCTCTCCATTTGTTTTCATCAAATTAATATGACCATCTTCCATGTTTTGTTTTGTTTTGTTTTGTTTTTGCCAGGGATCAAACTCATGACATTGAAATGACCAGGAAAGTGCTTGAGCCGCTGAGCTAAAGCCCCAGCCCTTCTTCCATGTATTTTTATTGTAACAAGCTTTAGTCTTAAATCAAAGTTTAAAGTTAAAAAAAGAATACCAGTTAGAAGAAAGAAGCTAGTGTCACACAGTTATATTTGAGTTAATTTCTGGTATTCTTAGAATTCATAGTTAAAAATCTAGTAATGTTTAAAACCTTCCTAATGGCAAAGAAATGTGTCCCTCATCTTACACTGTGGTGGAAAATGCAGGCAAATCATGTAAGCATAACCAAGGCTGCCTTGTGAAAAGTCTAGAAAGTTCGACTTTTCTAACAAAAAAATCAGGTGAAGCCCAAGAAAATTTGTCAGAACAAATATTGTCAAAAGCTGTTCATAGCCTACAAACAAATCTGACAGACAAATCTGCTGTATAAATAGGTATTTCTAAACCACAATTCTGACCTGGCTTTCTAAACACTATGTTGAATCCACAAAAAAATGAGCTTCTGCTGTATCTCTGCTCTTTTATTTATCTTCAGAGTTGCTATGGTAATATTCCAAACTCTAATTTTGTCCTAGTATGTAGCCTGTCATTACACAAATTATCAAATTTGGGACTGCAGAGCCCCAGGCCAAAATCACTGGCTTAGTACCAAAACTGAAACTTGGTAAGACATATTCACATTTATAAAGAAAAGTCCAAGTCCAACAGTAGTGGAATTAGTATCCAGGCTGACTATCTGCCTGGGCATTATCTACTCCATCCATATTTACTCTAAATTCTAACCTGGTTTCATTTAGTGATTCATAATTTACCACTTCCTGTGGTTGACATATATAAAAGGTCATGGAAGTTCCTGTGTTATAATCGATTCTCAAGGCAACAGTGCTGAAGCGGAAATTTGAATTTTCCTTTTTTCTTAGCAGTGGTGCTGGTATTGGGGACTGAACCTAGGACATACACTCTGAGGTAAGTCACTATGTTACCCAGGCAGAACTCATCAAACTTGTGACCCTCCTGCATCAGCCTCCCAGAATGCTGGGATGACAGGTGTGCCTCACAACTGCCCAGCAACAAGTGGCAATTTTAAGAGGTGACGAGGTGATGAGGACTCAGCTCACTCGGACATTTACATTAAGTGCTGTGATGTCAGTCTCAAGAGAGCTGTGTGATTTATCCCAAACGTGTATTTGTTATGACAATGTTAGGGTAGGAGGTCTTTGGGAGGTAATTGCCCCGTGAATGCAATCAAGGTCTTCAAAAGTCTTTCTCTTCTTCCTTCTCCGTATCTGTCCCTCTTTCCATTTTCTCTTCTCGATTTGGCTGTCTGTCTCTGTCTGTCTGTCTTTCTTTCTCCCCGCTCTCTCTGTTACACACACACACACACACACACACACACACACACACTCCTTCTATATTCCTTCCTTTGTTTTTTTTTTTTTGGTCCCCTTACCATGTTGGCTATTTTCACAGGATTTCATCTCTGACTATTGAAGATTGTACCACATTGTTTACTTTCAAAGGTTTTCTTCATAAAAGCGATTGTGTACATTTGCAGTGCATGCTGATCACATCTATCACGAAGATGGAGTCCACTCACACAGCACAGGGCAATCCTTTCATTTTTTTCACCCCATAACCCTCCTCTCCTTCCTTGCTCTTCCAACTTCAGATCCCTTTTCCATTTATAAAAGTTCTATTTCATCATATTTCTCTTCAGCTCTTTTCGTTTTACCCCTTTGGCTCACCTCCACGCCTCTCTCCACTCAGGTTCCTTCACCCACTTGAAAACAGTCTCCCAGGTCCTATTTATCTATCTTGGGTTTCGCTTTGTGCTCTAAGGGTTCTTTCCCCGGGAGTTTTTAATGCTCAGGAGGCCACTGGAACAAGCATAAGCTGTGCTGCACTGCTACAATCACAGGCTCACTGTCCAGTGTGAGCTCTTTCATGTATTTGGGGGCAGCGGAAGAGGTGAGGGAATTCCAATAAGCACACATGCTTTGCAAATTATTTACATTCAAAAGGTTTCTCTCCACCATGAATTTTATAACTTGCATCTCCTCTTGATCTTCTACACCAAGAAATGCCTGATAAGATGAAGTCCCTTGATGTTAGATTTCTCAATTCCAGAACTACGAACCAAATAAGCTTCAAAATCTATCAGTTACCTGGTCTCTGATCCTTCACTAGAGGAGCCAAAAATAGGCTAAGATGCCACTTAACAAATTTAAAATCATATTTGACTTTGCTCGCTCTTTTCTTAGAAATCAGTGTATCTTTAAACTGCTGTGTACCTTCACGAGGATGTCTTTTAATTCACAAAATTTTTCCCTTACCCATAAATTTTTTATAATTTCTCCTTTTCCTCTGCTTTTTCCTTTCTATACCTTTTATTTTTCGGTCCCTTTCCCATTCTTGTCTCAGAACTGCAATAGCAGCCAGCACAGCTTTAATGGTAATGGATCCAGACTGAGCTGACCTCCTAAGGAACAGGCTCTCTCAAGAAGGTAAACACAGGCCCCCAGGCCAGTTCTCCAGGAAAGCCTCAAGGAATGGGGAGGGCTTGTGTCTCTCCTTGCCATGGTCAGAAAGACATCCTCTCATTCAGTGTGACAGCCCCAGTTTACTGTTTAGATGTGTGCCCTGTCAGGTCTCTCCTCAGGCACCTGTGCACATGCCATCTAAAATCAATGTCAAGGGTGTTTTAAGTTTTAAGTGTTTGACAACAATGATTTCCTTTGAGTAGCATTGCAGAATTTTTCTATGGTTTTTAAGATTTAATTTTGTTCCACTAATTGTTTGCTACAAGAAAACACTGCATTAAATATCCTTGCACATAAGCTTTATCATCTGTCTGCTCTTTCTGCATGTCCATAAGTAAATTGATGGGTAAAAATAATTGTGTACAGATCCTCATTCTTAATGTATGTAGCCAGATTGTTTTCTCTATGTGTTAAAGTTAATTACATTTCCTCTAGTATTGAGCACAGGAAATGAGGAATGACATGAATCCAAATCATGGAAGAGACTTTTTGGCCCAAAAAAAAGAATTTAGTTTCTTATACATAATTCAGCATGATAGCATGGAAGTCTTTACAAAGAAAAGGCACATAATTTTCAAGCATTACAGAAAAGTCCTCAGAAATGTGTGAGAAAGGATTTTAGGGAAGGAAGGATAGTAGCAAAGAGAAAACTATAAGGAAAAGTATTATTTTCAATTATTAGGATCTTGAAAACATTCTGAAATGAGTTCTTAATAAGCTGGTGGTCCTCTGAATTTTATTTAAAACAGCTATACTAAAACTTCAGATTTAACCTGTAGAGAATATAAAATCAATGGATTCCTACATAGATATCTATTAAGTATAAGAACATTAAGAGAAACACATTAAACAGGTCTACTCTGATAATATAACCTGAAATCAATCTTCCTCTCTATTCTTTCACGTTCTTGATAGCCTTTTATCATGACAGTTCTTCAGTCTGTAAATATATATTCACTTGTGTTTTATCAGTCCAGGGTCCACCTGCCTGGCAGGCCTGACTCCCATGCCTGCCTGCTCCTTGGGTACCAGGGCACTGCACAGCATGAATGCAGAACAAGCAGTACACTTAGCCATTTGATAAATAAATACATAAATCAGTAAATAAATAAATATTTTATCTAAAATACCAAGGATCAAAACATTATTATGCTTCAATACCTGTCCATGTCAGTAGCTCAGAAAGGAAGAATTAAATCAACATTTTAGAATCTAAATGAATAAAATTACAGGATTTACTCATTTAGCAATATATTTTGCTCAAATTAAGGTATCATTCTTCTATTTCATTTTCTTGAATACCAGTGAGAAGCTGCTAATGCAGATTAATTTTAAAATGATAGCATGCTAATATATAACGGGACTCCTTTATTATTTGAATAGAATCTGTCTGTCAAAAAATAATTTATTTTCTCAATGACTTGTTTCTCCAGCCACAATTATTCCAACCAGCTTGTCCAAGTGGCTCCAGGGAGATAGGAAATTATTAAATGTGAGAAATAATTAGAAATTAAAATGCATTGCATATAGTATATAATTAATGAATGTGGGAGGAGAGTTGAAATGTGTTTCTAATACATAGAGTGAAAATTAATATAGAGAATTTGGAAGTGGAAATTTTGCAAATAAAGCTGGAGCTAACAAGTTAAAAAGTCATAATACTCATGTGCATCGGTTGCTTAGATATCATGAGATAAAGTGAAACCAGGTTTCTAGTGAGTGAGGAAAATGAAAAGGAAAAGGCTCACTAAAAATCATCTCTCTTTAGCTAAATGAACTACTTAAAATGATGAAGAGTTCAATGGTTTTAAGATTAATAGAACTGAATCAGCTCACGGAGCGGTAGACATACTATCCTGAAGGCCTTGCCTGTGTACCCATCCGTCTGGGGCAAGTCTGCCTGGGCCCAAGGTAAATGGCTGTAAACAGAGGGGCAGGGAGACATGTAAACAGGCATGAGATCCAGAAATAAAAGACAGCACACACAAAGTTCAGGAATTATACAGATGACTAAATTTATGTGAGTTTTATTAAAGGGAAATTGATACTAATCTACCAACGTTTGAGGAAGTTGAATTGCCAGAGACACTATTGTGAAGCCTTTATAAATCTTTATAGTGTGTAGCTTTAAAGTTACTGTCGCCTTGTTTGGCATCTCCCTACCCAGACCTCCGGATTAGACCGCTGAGGACAGTGAATGAGCAAGTCTAAGGAAGGCAGGGAGGGGACAAGTGAGTTATTCACACGTACAGAAAGCCAGAGAGCTATCATGTGGCCGTGCTTGATATTGCTGCGGACCGTGGGCTCCTTCTCGTCCTTCCTGTTTCTAAATAAATGATTGCTTCTCTTTTTCTATCACAAGAAAATGAATACCATGGTACATTCTGACAAATTTATGTAAATCTGCTCTAATTGGTGCTTCCTTTTTTTTCACAATTAAATACAAAAGGAAAAACTAGAAAAAAAACACATACTTCTCGACTTTGAAAAGGGAGTAGAAACAGGTTCCAAGTAGGAGTCAGAATTTGGGGAAGCAGGCCTGGTGTGGTGGTGCACAGCTGTAATCCCAGCACTGGAGAGGCTGAGGCAGGGAGACTGCTGAGAGTCAAGGCCAGCCTGAACTGCATATTAAAACACTGTCTCAAAAATAAAAATAAAAATAAAAACAAAGCTTAGACCAATTGCATAGGTGAGCCTTTTTTACCTTTCTTTCACAGTTTTGTTTTCAGGGTGGGTCCAGTTAAGGGACTGGTAGGACAATCATGGTTACAGCTTCAATAGATATAGGCCTGGTATAGACCAATGGGAGGAGCCACAAAAAGGGGTGCAATTTTCTATAATACATTAAACTGGTAAATTATTAATTATAATTGTACTGTGAAAAATTAGTGTAAATGTTATAATTTTAGTCCCTAAAAAAAAGCAAATTCATTGCAAAGAGTCCTCAGACGGTGGGAGGAGAAACTAGAATGAAATTCACAAAAATTCAAAAATTGTTTTAAAGACGCAGAATAACTAGTTTATCTAAAGGTTAAAAACAGAAAATGACTCAGAATATAATGAAACTAAATCTAGCTATACTTACAGAAATATTAATGAGAAAATGATTGAAAATTGGAACTCTGGGGGCTGGGGATATAGCTCAGCAGCAAAGTGCCTGCCTGGCAAGCACGAGGTCATGAGTTTGATCCCAGGTACAAAAAAAAAGTGGGAACTCTGGCATCAGCTGCTCCCTGACACACATACACACATTAAATAAAATGAAACAAGTATGTTTAAAGTAAATGCCTGAAAAACAAAATGTCCTGTGTGAACAGTGAACAATTAACACAAGGACAGCATGATTGGAAGGCTATACACATGGACAAAATAAATAGGGATGATTCATAATTATACAAATGCTTTGCTTGAATGTAACATATAAATATGTGTGCAACAGTTAATTTCAAAGTAGATGAAGCCAGTGTCAGATTTTTTTTTTTTTTTCTTGCAGAGCTGTGAATGAACTTGTGGCCTCATGCACACCTACAAGGCCTCCACCACTCAGCTATCGTGCCAGGCCCTAAATCAGATTTTCAAAAAGAATAACCTAAGGACAATGGAAGATTTTAAAGGCCCTCTCTTAGCAGGTGATAGATAATTAAGTCAAAAATTTGATATTTTTTAAGCCTTTTGTAATGGAACTGCTTTCCTGACTTTTTCTCAGCTTTCAGTATATAGAAAAGCTGTTGATTCATGTTGATTTTATATCTTGCTAGATTGCTGCATTTGTTTACCACTATCAAAGATTTTGGGTGGGATCTGTAGGGTCTTCTAAGCACAGAATTATGTCTTCTCCAGACAGGGATAATTGGATTTCTTCCTTTCCTCATTATATCTCTGTCATTGATTTCTCTTACCTGATTTCTGCAGCTAAAATTTGAGAACCATATTGAACAGAAATAGTGGAAGTAAATGTCTTTCCCTTGCTCTTGATTTTAGAGAAGATCCTTTCAGATTCTCCTCACTCACAATGATGTTGTCTGGGGTCTGTCATGTGAGGCCTATAATACTGAGGAATGATCCTGCAGTGTCGAGTTTCCTCGGGTCATCATGAAGGGATGCTGAATTCAAAACACTTATTCTGTATCAACTGCGATGGTCGTAGGTGTTGTTATGTTTGTTCTATTTATGTGGTGTGTTACATATTTTGATTTGCATATATTGAACTGTCCTGGAATCCCTGAAATGAAGACAAATTAAACATGGTATATAATCTTTTTACTCTGTGTGTGTGTGCGTGTGCATATGTGTGTGTATGCAAATGTAAGTATTTCTTTTAAATGCTGTAGGTATTAGAGTATTTAATTGCTGCAGGTATACTTATTTTGTTTCTTTATTTTATATTTATAATAATACACACTGACAGTACAAAGTCACTACATTCATCTTGGGCGTTGGACCATGTACTTAGGTCATCTCTTTTCCCTCAGCTCCTTAACTCCCTCCCTGTAACTGTTGATCTCCCTCCCCTTTGCAAAAGGATACCTACTGCTTGCTATTATCTGTCTTTTATATTGCTCTTGATTTATATTTTGAGGTTCTTGTTTAAGAGAAAATTATGCAATATTAAAGTTGGGTGTCTGATTAATTTTACTTACTTTATGATCTCAAAGTGCATTCATTTTCCCACAAAGGACTCGTTTATCCGTCTTTATGACAGAATAGTACTCTGGTGAGTAAACACATTCTTTATCCATTCATCTACTAAAGAACATATAGCCTACTTCTAAGATCAAGCTATTGTAAACTGCTACGATATACACGTGTATGCATGTTATCACTGGAATTGATGTCTTTAGGTCTTTCAGGAATAGGACCTACAAGTGGACTAGCTGAGCCAAATGAAATTGCTATTTTTAATTTTTGAAGAATCTGCATATTGATTTCCATGGTATTTGTAGTAGTTTACATCCCCTCCAGCAATGTAGAAAGATTTTGTTTCCCTAATAGTCTTTTGATCATTTATTTGATTTCTTAATGATAACCATTTTCTTGGCATAAGATGGAACCTCCTTGTGTTAATTAGCATTTCTCTAATGGCTAGATTCTGAACATTACTCACGTATTTATGGGCTAATTGTATTTTTTCTCTTAATAAGTATTTTATTTAGGTCAAAATTTTTTTTTAAATTCTTTGTATATTCTAGATATCAGTTTTCTGTCCAAGGGACAGCTCGCAAAATTTTCGTTGCATTCTGTACATTGTCTCTTCATACGACTCATTGTATTTTTTGCTAAGCAGAAAAATTTATTTCATTTCATTTATTATATTTCATTTCATTTATTTTATTTTATTTTATTTACTCCATTTGTTGATTCCTGGTGTTATTTCTTGCAAAACTAGGAGTTTGTTCAGAAAGCCCTTGCCTATACTTACGTCTTCAAGATTTTCAGATATTTTATCTTCCAAAAGATTGTTTCTAACAGATTTTTTTTTCATTTTTGTTTAGTACATGGTAGAACAGTTGAGTCTAGATTCAGTCTTAGGCATGTGTAGAGCCAGTTTGCCTAGCACTGTTTGTTAGAGGCTGTCTTTCATCCACTGTATGCTTTTGGCCTCTTTGTGAAAGATCCAACAGTTGAGTGTCTCTGATGTTGTTTCTGCATCCTCTACTCTATTACATTCTTCCACATGTCTGCTGTTGTGCCAGTACCATGCTGACTTTATCACTTAAACATTGTTGTAAACTTGAAGTCATGGATGGCTGTGTCTTCTGCTTTGTTCTCACTGTCAGGACTGGTACAACCTTTATTTTGCTGAGTCTCCTCAGGTTCCATATAAATTTTAGGGTGGTTTCTCTAGTTCTGTGAGAAATACAGGTGATTGAGATTGGATTCTGTTTGGGATTGGATCAAGTGGATGTGCCACTTTTGGAGATGTGGCCATTTTGATGTATTGGTTCTGCCTATGGAGAGACAGATGGTATCTTATCATTTTCTAATGTTCTTTGACCCCCTTTTTCAGAGCACTGTGGTTTTGGATTTAGAAGTCTCACTTCCTGTCTTAGTTAACTTTCTGAATATTTAATTTTCCTTGATGCTTTTGTGAACAGGAATTTTTAACATTTCTTTCTCAGTGGGTTTAGTATTGCAGCACAGTAATGCCATTGAATTCTATGCATTGATATTTTATCCTGCTGCTCTCTTGAATTTGGTTATTAGTTCTAAGAGCGTTTTGGTGAAAATTCTTGGGTTCTTAATGTAAAGGATCATGTCATCTTCAAATAATCATAATTTTATTTCTTTTTCTCCTGCACACATTCCTCTTCTTTCTTTCTCATGCCTGATTACTAAGGCTAGCGTTGGAAGGTCTAAATTGAACAGGCGTGTGCCTGTTCAAATTTCTTATTTTTTTCCTGATTTTAGGGAGAAAGATTTCAGCATTCTTCCTTTTAATATAATGAAGACCACAAGTTTGTTATGAATGACCTTTATCAGATTGAGAAATGGTCTTTTCTCTATTTTCTTCTCCATTTTTATTATGAACTGATGTTGGAATTTGTCAAAGGCTTTTTTCTGCATCTATTGATGATTATTTGGTTTTTATCTTGTTTCTGCATTGTGATATATTATTTATATATAATAAAATGCATGTGTTGAACCATATTTACACATCTGGGATGAAGCCTACTTGTTCACGATGTATGTTCAGTTCAGCAATTTGTTGTATTCTGTTGCCCAGTATCTTGTTGAGGATATTTGCATCTGCATTCTAAAGATATTGTCCTCTTTGTTGTATGTTTGTCTGATTTTGAAAGCAAGGTAATGCCAGCTTCTAGGAGAGAATTTGGAAGTAATCTTTCACTTTCATTATTATTGAAGAGTTTAAGAAGTATTGATGTTAGAACTTTTCTAAAATTCTTGTAAATTTAAGAGTGACTGCAGTGGGCCCTGGGTTTTTGTTACTTGCTAAGTAGTCTTTTATTACTGCTCTAATTTAATTACCTAGTATAGAATTATTTGGGATTTTTATGTCTTTTTTGTTCAGTATGAATAATTTATATTTACTTAGGAATCTATCCATTTCTTTTGGATTCTTCAATTTATTCAAGTGTAGGTTTTCTTAAGTGCCACTAATCTTCTGGCTTCTGGTATGCTGTGACTTTGGCTTTTCTATTTATTTGTTGGTTGGTTTTGATTTTGGTTTTGATCTTGGTTTTTGGAGACAGCATCTCCTCTATGTAGTTCAGGCTGGCCTTGCATTCACAAGTACAGCTTGTCTCAACATTTAAGCACCCTCGTACCTCAGTCTCGTCTGTGCTGGAATCAAAAGCATGTGCCATTAAGCCTGGATAATTTCATCTTTTTCATTACTAATTACATTAATTTGGGTCTTTCTTTTTACTTGGAAAGATTGTCTAAGGGTTTTTCTATTTTGTTTACTTTATAAAAGAATCAGATTTTTCATTTATTGATTCTTTGTAATTTGTTCTTAGTCTCAATTTCATTAATTTCTGCTCTGGTCTTTAGAATTTTCTTCCTAGAACGAGAATTGGATTTTAATCTTAGCTGTTTTTCTAGAACTTTGATGTGTATCATTAAAATATTTATTTGGACTTATTCTGTTTTTCTAAGATGAATGTTCATGAATAAAAACTTTCCTACTATGATTGTTTTCATTGTTACCAGTAGGTACTGGTATCTTGCACTGAAATTACCATTCGGTTCTAGGAACTGTCTGATTTCTTCTGTGCTATATTTATTATTCAAGAGAATATTGTCTGATTTCCATATGCTTGCATATTTTCTGTGATTTCTTTTGAAAACTAACTTCTAGTTTTATTGCACTATTGTCCGGAGCCGCTTCCGTCCCGCGGAATGGAGCACACGAACACTTAGCCTCTGCAAGCACCTTTATTGACTGGGCAGCAACCTCAATACATGTCCGTCCTCGACGGCTTCTTCCGTGTTGTGCCCCGAGCACTTCCTATGCCTAAGCTTATAAGGCTAGTACTATCCAACCATGAGATTACACGTGGAGACAGGCAATTGGGTGATAACGGGGAAGTAATCAATGACTACCATATTTGGCGGTGGCAGTGAGCCGAGCAAGAACCCAGAAGCAGGATGTAGGCGCCATCTTGGGCACACGATGGGCGGGGGAGCAGCAGAGGCGGCAGGCGGGTGCCATCTTATGAATATGCTCTCATGAATAACATGGCAGGCTCCCAACATCTCCCCCTTTCTTATTTACAAGCAAATGACAGTGAGGTCTTCCAAGTGACTACAGTGGTCTGTACCCCGCTGTGTATGGCTCTGTGGCTACCCTCAGGCACAGGTTGGCCACCCCTGTGTCCAAAGGAACCTTCGAGCCTCATCCCTTTGCGCGGGGCTAGGGTATTTAGGATGAAACCTAGATGCATACAGGCATATAGTCTGACCTCTCTCTTATACCCCCAAGAGTAGAGTGTCATGTAGTACCATCTGGTCTCGCACCTTGGTGCCTCTTGCTGTCATTGTGTGGAATGGGGCCTGTCTTAGGTTGAGCAAGGTGGGGTACCTCAGTCTTACCCGTCTTTGGCTCACCCATCCAGCATTTTATAACTGATGCTCTGCGACATGGAGGAGATATGCAGCCACCTGGCTA